TGAACAAGTGAATTTTCACTCTAAAAGAGTGCGTACAGGGATCACTCCAATTTCACTATTTCTTGATTGAAAATTCACTCTTAAATGAGTGAATATTATTCTTAAAATATTGAAAATTACTAAAATTTACTCTGAATAGAGTGAAATCTTACTCTTTCTATTTCACTCCATCAGGAGTGGTCCCTGTAGGCACTCTTTCACTCTTTTTTTTCACTCTTTTGCATTTAGAGAGTACGTATCTTGCTTATCATCTACACCAGGGGTGGACATAGAATGGCTTTGGACGGCCAAACTGAATTTTTGATTTAACACAAGCAAGCAAATACATGGTAAAAATTTCACGTTTTCGGTGTTCTTTCAAAAACTTCATACATTTTTTCTCTATTGATTAGGCGAAGGCATCGGCTTTTATTTCTTACTTTTAATCCGTATTTTCTTTCAAGGAAAACAATGTTACTTCAAACAAAGGTGTCTCGCCATATCCAGATATGAATTTGACATTGAAGGTGTTTCCAAACAGCTAAACAACATTCAACACCGGTTGTGTTCTCAAGGACTGGAATAATGAATTTGTAACTGCCATTTGTATTTTTTAAAAAAGTTCAGAGCCGGAGAATTACAGACCCATTTCACCCAAGTCATATGTCAAAAATGTTACTGTCACTAAACATTAACTTACAACATGGATTTAGAAAACAGTTTCCCACTGTCACTCAACTTATGACATCTGTAGAAGCGGTTGGCGCATCGGTTGTGGCTTGGAGGACTCCCAACCTCGAGGTCGTATGGCAAGCCGTTTTATCATTTACCTCTGAATTGCAGTTAAGTCGAATTCAAGTTAACTGCAATACATTGGATTGCAGTTAACTTGAAATGAATTAGAGTTAACTCTAATTCAATTGCAGTTAACTTGAATGCATTTCAAGTTAACTGCAATTGACCATTTTTGGTAATTTCATTAAGTGATTGTGATTGGCTACTGTATTTGAGTTAAGTGCAATCGACAATTATATGGGAATTCCATTAAGTGACTGTGATTGGATGTTCACTTATAAGGTATATTTCCATTAAGTGATGGTGATTGGTTGTTGAATTTTCCGCCTGTGAATCGTCATCGAC